CCAGTTTTTAAAAGAGGATTATAAATCTGTAATAGCCTCCACAGTTCTTGTATATCTACCAGGCAAATTGTATATGTAGTGCCTTTTTTAAGTAAAATAAAATACAGCTAAGCTGCCTTAATACATCAACTCAGTTAGCTTATGCTGGCTAGCTTTAATTGAGCCACATTAGTTTATAGTTAACATTTTTCTAAAGATTTAGTTGCATTTTACTTTTAACTTAGGATAGGTGGTCTACTCAAACCGGAGTGTTCTGGTTTACTACTTAAACACCTACAAGTCTGGGGAGTTTACTCCATCTGTCAAACATTAACTGGTAGTTAATGTTACTCCTGAGTTACGTTTAGTGAGAAGGAACAAATTGTCTGCACAGAATGCTTACACCACTTTTTAATCCTACTTTTGCTAATCCAGGGGCTGTCAATTGAATATATTCCATAAATCAAATTGTGAATATAGCTTAGCATAAAGCTTCTCTGAGACCAAAAGCCCCACCCATGAGAGTAGGTTTATTATTTTATCTGATTATAAAGCAGCATAATAAAATGAGAGAGGAAATGTAATACATTGTAAATTTAAGCAATATAGAACAGTTGAAGGAAAAATTGTTTTTTAAATTTGCACACAACCACAGGTTGTTTTTTAAAGATTTTATTTATTTTTAGACAGGGGAAGGGAGAAAGAGAGGGAGAGAAACATCAATGTGTGGTTGCCTCTCACACACTCCCTACTGGGGACGTGGCCCATACACAACCCAGGCATGTGCCCTGACTGGGAATCAAACCAGCAACTCTGGTTCTGAGGCCAGCACTCGATCGGCTGAGACACACCAGCCAGAGGTAAAGAAAAAAATTTTAATTAAAAGTCATCTGGAATCTTACCACTTATATATGGTCATTATTAATATTTTGTTGTCCTCTATTATTGATTTGAGAGAGAGAGAAACAATGATGTATTGTTCCATTTATTTATACATTCATTGGTTGCTTCTTGTATGTGCCCTGACCAGAGATTGAACTTGCAACCTTGGTGTATTGGGATGCTGCTCTAACCAACTGAGCCACTCAGCCAAGGCCTTTTGTCTTTTCTTTTGTACTTTTATCTCTGCTTATATAAACACATAAATTGACCTTATTTTTGTCTTTAAAATACCTATCATGCTATTCTGTTTCAAAATCAACTTTTTTTATCCTTAACAATATTTCACAGACATCTTCGTGTAGTGAGGATATTTTTTGGGTCACTTTTTTTTAACCACCCCCTACTTCTCTCAATTTCTATTTTTTATATGAGAATTTTACTAAAGCTCAGGACATAGTCATCACAACACCTTTTTATAAGCATCACTTCAGTTTTTTAGTTAAAAAAAAAACATTGAATTCTAGTTAACCTTGCCAAAAGATAAAGAATGAAATAATTGCATATTCTCCTGAAATTGATGAAATTTATCTTGTAAAGCCAATATATAAGAAACTTATTCAGCCCTGTCTAGTGTGGCTCAGTTGGTTGGGCATCATACCACAAAGCAAAAGGTCACCAGTTCATTCTGGATCTGGGCATATATGCCTGGGTTGGGGGTTTGGTTCCCAGTTGGGGCATGCAACTGATCGATGTTTCTCTCTCACATCCATGTTTCTCTCCTTTTCTTTTTTCCTCCCTCCCCATGTCTCTAAAAAATAAATAAAATCTTTAAAAACAAGAAATTCATTCCAAAGGTCAGTTATATCAGATCTGTGTGCTGAGGTTTAGGAGCTTGTGGATGCTGCCTGTTCCTTATCTTTGGCGAGAGATCAGTGATTAAAGTGGGAAAGATCAACAGTTGCTAAAGTGCCTTTATATACTTACTCATTAGAGAAGGAAGTGATGTGGTCAACTAGAGCCATTATTTGTTTGATGTAACTTTGCACTTAGACCTTATGTCATTCTGAATCCGATATGTATGAATCACCCCCAAGCCTTAGAGCCCGTCAAGACCCAGCACTCAGCAATGTGACCTTTAACTGACCCAAGTAGGACTTCTTTGCCAGCTTAGTGGGCTAAGCTACAAGTCATAAGGGTTTAAAAAAATGGAAATTTGTTTCCTTTTGATTCTAGGTTTTGGAATTAAGGGGGATTGGGTACAAAAAGTTTCTCAAATAAAGTAATCAGTATCAGAAGAAAAGTTTCATGTAAAAAGAACATTATCAAAAAAGTTTCTAAGTTTACATGCTTAATTATAAACACTAAGATTTGCATTTCTAGAAGCTTAGAATCTTAGAACTGGAAGGGACTCTAAGGAATTGTTTTGCATCTTTTCTCATTTTCTAGTTAAGGAAAACTGAAGCTTAGAGAAATGTATTAATTTGCCTGAAATCTCACAATGAGATCTACGAATAGTAGGCCTCAAAGTAGAATCTAGGTCCTCCGGCTCCCCGTCCCCTGCTCTGTCATTACCTTCTGATCTGCTGGGCTCCTGACGGTGGCTAACACTGAGGCCCTCTGAGCCTCTCCTCCTTTAGAACATGTTTGCTCGCCCTGCTGGGCTGGAGAAACAGAAGTCTGTGAATGTTCCTCATGGTTGCTCTTGTCCAAAGCACCAAGAAGCCTGGGCCTTGGGCTCTTAGCCTTGGGAGGTCTAGCATTAGGCTTCTGGATTCTCCTCTGACTGCCATCACCCTTGCTAGCATTTGGGATTGCTCGAACAAATTAGTCCTCAAGAATCTGAAGAAGAAAAATGTCATTAAGCAATTGCTTTCTTGTATTTTAGTACAAGTTATCTAAACAGGTGAATGCCTATGGTAGTAAGCCATAAAATGAAAGAAAGATTAGTTTTGTTAAAGTATGTGTGTCTGGTCTCCTTGTGGTCTTTTTATAAACATTTGCAATTTTAAAGGAGGATAATGCTTAAACACATCTTCTCTTTGGTATAATTTTAAAAGTAAACAACTCAGGCAATGGAAAGAGATTTACTTGCGCTCAAAGTCACCCTTGCCTGGGATACATGCAATTCCCCTAGGCTATTCCTGTTTTTCAAGGTCTCTTATCTTCCTGGATTTGTTAACCCACTAGAGTTCAAAGCTTTTTCCTTAATAGTTGTCATTAAGGAAAAATGAAGGTGTGTTCTGCTCAACTTGGAAGTAGATGGCATTCACAAATTATGAACTTGTAAGTATAGTCTGCCTGTATATGCTGATTGCATTAAGAGAAGATAGTCAGAGAGTAAAATGTCGTTGATTCTGCCTCATCTGGAATTTCAGGGAAGTGAAGGGACACTGTGGTTATCCAGAGCCAGATCCATTGTTGAAAGTTCATACCATCATTCTAACATTTAGTGTCAGATATTCTCTTTGTAAATCCCTCTTCACTTTACCAGTGCTGGTCTCAGCTCAAACTGTTTCAAAACCATAACATTTCTTAGTGAGTGATTGATCTGTATTGTGTGTCCAGCCATCAGGAGGATCTTGGGATGTTGCTTGTATAAACTGTAATCCAATCTGATGTTGTGCATTTAGTTACAGTCTTTCATAGACCTATTGGTGATACTCGATCCTCCTGGATTTGGGAATAGGGCTTATCTGATACCTTCAGGGGAAAAAAAACTCATTCATTTTTCTCTCTTCCCCACTTAAATAACTCAACACCTTTGGTAACACTGTAGGATCATTGTCCTTCCAGTTCCTCTGCAGCTCATATTGCTACAATATTTCTTAAGTATTTAGTTACCTAAAGGGCAATGTGATTTTTTAAGAAAAGACTTTGTATGGTCCTTACAAATTAACCCATTTGCAGAGCTAGGAAAAAATACTCCTTTAATCAGCAAAATTTCCATATCAGTAGCCTTGTGTAAGTTCTACAGTAAGTATGTAAATATAAGTTTGGATAGAAATGCTCATGTGTTAAAATTTTAAAGCAATTCTTTCTATAAATTAATGTAATTTGCCTCTAAGAAAATGTTTATTAAAGCTGGGGCACCTGAAATTGAAGTATCTTGTTGTTTGGTTCTGTATCCTTTGGCTTAATAATGTCTTCAATTACAAGAATGATAAAAGCTGAAACAAAATCCTTTAATTCAATCAGAACTGAGCTAAATTTTAGGAAGCAAAGAGTGGAAATCAGATACACAACTGCATAATATGGGAAGCTAAATATACAAGATACTATGTCTTCATAAGAAGCAGATAGGGTTGCCTTGAGGAATTCTTATATGAAATGGCTGCAGTGAACATTATAATAAATAGCACTATTTTATCTTTTTGAATTAAGATGATTTATGCAAACAACTCTAAATCATACAGTAGTTCCAAAGAGACCATTTACTGTTTTCTGCTTGTTTTACATTCTGGAACAAGTTCAAAGCTTTTGATTTTGCTTGATTTTTTTAAAAATAGCCTGAGCCTTGAAAGTAATACAGGTTTGATGAATATGATTTCACTGCTGTGTTTCTGTAAAAAAAATTTCAAGTTTGAAAATAAGGTATGTTTGACCCAGGGTTCCTACACCAAATAAATCCACAGTGCATTTTAAGTGCAACAGAATGAACACATTTGAAAGGTTAACCATTCTTTTTTGCATTTGCTTTTCATTCTGTATTAAGTATGAAAATTAGCACTGTAATGACTGCCAGAATGGGGATATTGAAAAGTATCCACCTGAAAGAAATAAACATATAGAAAATAAATTAGATTAAGATTTCAGTAGTTATCTGAAATTTAAGCTTATGTTCAAAGTGGCTATTACTGGACTTCCATGTATAATACTTAACTACTATGACTATAGGTTTTTGTGGGGTTTTTTTGCTTATATTATGACTGAAAAAAATTGGATCACAGCTCTTAATATCCAGGTGGGCAATGTCATTGCCAGAATCTTTGCACATAACCCTGTCTTTGTTTTGTTTTATTTTGTTTTGTTTTGTTTCTATCAAACATAAGTACTGCTTTGTTCCTAAGTCTTCTGAGGCATTCTGAGGTAAAAATGTTTTTTTAATTGTTTCTTTTAATCTTTGATCTTGTTTTTTTTAGGTTGTGGAACTTTTAGCAAGTGCCCTTAGGGACTTGGTACGAGGAGTATACCATGAAAATTTTACTTCTGCAAAGGTAAGGATTTGGTAGTCATTATAAAATGTTAGGTTAAAAACCCTCATAGCAAAACTAGAATTGACAAGTGAAAATGTCATTTTTGTTTTCTGTTTAAATTGCACATGACATTTTTTTTAGATTAGTGTTTTGGCTACAAATTCATGGCCATACGCTTACTACATAGCAGATTTAGCCAATTAAAACAACCTCTTATCCTCTAGCTGGATTCACAGTCTGCTCCATCTGCAGCAGCCCAGTAGATAGCAGGATTTTGCTGGCTGGCAGGTAGCAGTGTCAAAAGATGAGCAGACTGGAGGATCAGCTCATGCTGAGGTGACTGGGCCTGGCCTTTCCCCAGAGAAGGGGCCTGCCATGTCCCAGAGGAGTGGACATGATTTTAAGAAGGTGACTAATGGGCGCATGAGAAAGGGGTGTCTTTTATATCTAAGATCCAGAATTTACTGTGTTATTAAATTCTCCACAATAAGAATGTCAATGGTTGCACAGTTGGATTATTCTGATAAATTTTATAGATCTAGAATTAAGGCTTTTTGACTCATTTGGCAGGACATCTCAAGAAAGGTTAGGTTTTATTTCCTTAAAATGCCGTTAATACATTTCAGTAGGATATTGAATGTGAAGCAGTTGCTTCATTGACCACCATCATCATTTAACATGCTATGTGCTGTTATAAGGGTTCCCATTATAGTGTTTCATAATTCTAACTTCCTTCACTTCTATGTGAGCAAGATTTCACTCACTGCAAATGAGAAAATATATGCATATATGCACATCTTAAGATCTTTGACATTGCCATTTGAGAAAAGAAAGACAAATTTTACTGGAAATGAAACATAGAGTGTGAGCAACTTGAGTAAGAAATTTAAAAGTATAACCCAGGCGTTCTGGATGGTTCAGAGAGTGGTTAGTGAAATGTGAAGAATTGTACCTTGGATGTCTGCTTATAGTGTATTTGGTTCAGGAAACTACCATTCCCAGTAAGCATATTTAACTTCATTCAAGCAGCATAGTGGGATGTGGAGACCTGGCAGGATGTATGACCACAGTGTTCCCCCTTTGTGATGTATTTCCAAAACATGCCATAGTCACTGTGGCTAAAGGTTAAAATAGCAGATTATAAAATAGAAGACTCTTGGTCTAATTCCACTCGTAGAAAGTCATCCTGTATATGGCGTGATGATGATAGATAGCTAACCAGACAGCACTGTGTAACACTGTGGTGAGTAATCACCTATGTTTTTACACTTAATCTTAATAGCAGGTACTACAGCTATCCCCATTTTATATATGTGAAACTTGAGGTTTAGAACAGATTGAGGGAGACTTCCACCAAGATGGAGGCATAGGTGGAGATGCCATGCTTTCTTACACAACCAAGTTTAGAGACAACAAAATATTAGCAACAGAAAACATAGCCAGAACACAGAAAATTGAACTTTTCGGAAGTCTGATAACAACGAATTCTTCAGCCTGACTGGTAAGAAGGGCGAAGCCAGCAGCTGGCAGAGCAGGGTTGCACAGGAAAACTGGGTCAGAGGGACTCAGGCGCTCGGATCCCAGGTGTGGGGTTGCAACTGGTGCACCCAGTGAGCTACCCAGTGAGCAACCCAGTGAGCAACTGGGACCCAGCGAGGCCGCAGGGCGGTGGGTTGACTGTGGTTGCGCATTCCTGCGCAGATAGACTGGCGAGGGAGTGGGCAGTGAGATGGGACAGAGCAGGCCCCAGCAGCGGGAGGCAGCAGAGGAGGCCACCATTTCCTGGCTCTGACCCCGCCCCCACATACAGCATCACAAACCAGCAACCTGGGTGGCCCCGCCCTGGTAAATAACTAAGGCTCCTCTCCTCATAAGTAACAGGCACAGATAAAAACATGGCTCAAGAACAACTCAGAGCCCCATAGCCCATAAATCTAAGTGATGAAGAAATAGCAAAACTTTCAGATGCACAGTTCAAAACACTGGTGATCAGGATCCTCACAGAACTGGTTGATTTTAGCCACAAATTAGAGGAACATATAAAGGCTAAACTAATTGAAATGAATGGTAATACACAGAAAACCAATAGTGATGGAAAGGAGACTGGGACTCAAATCAAGGGAGTAGACCAGAAGGAAGGAAAAAATGACCAAACAGAAAAGAATGAAGAAACAAGAATTCAAAAAAGTGAGGAGAGGCTTAGGAACCTCCAGGACATCTTTAAAGGCTCCAACATCTGAATTATAGGGGTACCAGAAGGGGAAGAGGAACAGCCACGAGTGGAAAACTTATTTGAACAAATAATAAAAGAGAACTTCCCCATTCTGGCAAAGGAAATAGACTTGCAGGAAATCCAGGAAGCTCAGAGAGTCCCAAAGAAGTTGGACCCAAGAAGAAACACACCAAGGCACATCATAATTACATTAGCCAAGATTCAAATGAAGGAGAGAATTCTAGAAGCAGCAAGAGATAAGGGGACAGTCACCTACAAAGGACTTCCCATCAGACTGTCAGCGGATTTCTCAAAAGAGACCTTCCAGGCAAGAAGGGGCTGGAAAGAGGTGTTCCAAGTCATGAAAACCAAAGACCTACACCCAAGATTGCTCTGTCCAGCAAAGTTTTCGTTTAGAATGGAAGGGCAGATAAAGTGCTTCTCAGATAAGATCAAATTCAAAGAGTTCATCATCACCAAGCCCTTATCATATGAAATGTTAAAGGGACTTACCTAAGAAAAAGAAGATAAAAAGGATGACAGTGAAAGGACAGCAAACTCACAGTTATTAAGAACCACACCTAAAACAAAAGCAAACTAAGAGGACAGCTAGATCAGGAGCAGAACCATAGAAATGTAGATCACATGGAGGGTTAGCAACAGGGGAGTGGGAGAAGGAGAAGGGGGAAGAAGGTACAGAAAACAAGTAGCATAGACGGTAGGTAGAAAATAGATGGGGGGGGCAAGAATAGTATGCGAAATATAGAATCTAAAGAACTTGAGACACGCAGTCATAAACTAAAAGGGGGGAATGTTGGGGGTGGGGGAGTGCAGGGTGGAGGAGAATGAAGGGGGAATAGAGCAACTGTAATGGCATAATCAATAAAATAAAAAAATTTTTAAAAAGAACAGATCGAGTAATTTGTATGTGGTCATACAACTTGTTAGTTGAGATTTAAAGTCCAGAGCTCAGGCTCTTAACCTTTCATCCTGTGCCTCTGTACCTTAATAAAAATTGATTTGCTGCTACCCACCTGCCATACCTGGGATCCCACCATGCGTGATGATTATAGTGGCCTCTTCTGGAAGCTGAAGCATTGTTTTCCCTTTGGATATTTTCAAGGTGTTCAACTTAGTTTTATATAAAATATTAATATTTTACAGTTAAATATATTTTTTAAGTGAAAGTGTTATTGGTTTAAAGACTCATGATTTATTCATTCTCACCATTTGTTCACTATAATTAGTTCAGTTCATTAATAATTTAGTGAACATTTGTTGTGTACTTTGTTGTATGTCAGGAAGACCTAATGGCAACAACAATAATAAATGCTTGAAGAGCACTTTATAGTTTGCTTACACTTTCTCTCTACACAATCACCAATGGAAAGGGTGACATTTGTTGGTAAGCCCATTTTATTCATTAAAGCCTGAAATTCATAAATGACAAATAGTGGGAAAGCTTAGTGCCAGAAATTGTTAATGCATGTTGGACGGCGACATGATCTGAACCCAGGTTTTTTGACTCCACGTCTCATATTATCTGTTTCTTCCTGGGGGTAAGAAAAGATGAAGCAGCGATACATGAGCCACCATGTAGCAAGCAGCAGTTGCTGACTTTGATTAACAAATAAGTTTTACACAGAAGAATCTGTAGCTGCCCTGGCCGGTATGACTCAGTTGCTTGGGCATCATCCCGCAAACCAAGAGGTTGTGGGTTTGGTTCCTAGCCAGGGCACATGTGTGGTCCCTGGTCCCCAGTCAGGCATGTATGGAGGGCAACCTACATGATGTTTCTCTGTCACATTGATGTTTCCCTCTCTTTCTCCTTCCATTCTGGAATGGAATGGAATGGAATGGAGTGGAGTGGAGTGGAGTGGAGTGGAGTGGAGTGGAGTGGAGTGGAGTGGAGTGGAGTGGAATGGAATGGAACAGAGTAGCTATGCTTTGTTCATCTGCCCTCTTTCCCCACCACCTCCCCAAACACAGTCCTTTAATGCATTCAAGACTTTTTTGAAGCAGTTACATTTCTGAATTTAGCCAAACTATTTAAAGTGCACTTTTTTAAAATAATGGAAGCAAAAATGCATAGTTGAATGGGCGTGCTTTTCGATGCCTCTGTTTGTGCCCCATGTTCAATTTAGGTTAACCACATTTCCCTTCCCAACCAAAAAATTCTGGCTACACACACACACACACACACACACACACACACACTTTGAGTGTGCTTGCCATTGCAATGGCTTTTTACAATTTGGTTTTTCTCACTTGGCCCAGAAATCAGTTCAGAGGCAGAGAACACTGCCCTACATGGAGTGCCTTCAAGGTTTTCCAGTTCTGGCAGGGCTGGGAAGCCGCCACAAGTGGAGGTCCTCTGGAAAGGGAGTTGCCCAACCTCTATAGCCATGGGCCAATTCAGCACACAAAAGAATTGCTTTGTGATTTAAATAAGCAGCAAACCATTTCATCCATGTAGAGATAAGAGGATACAATAGTGGTCTGTTTTCTATACGGCTACTTGATGCATTGCTGGATGTGATCTGGGCAATTCAAAAACAGTATTCTATGGAGCCTTTCGTGTGCAATGAAGGTAAACGCATTAAAGCAAATGGAGGGGAATTGGAACAGAATATGTTTGAAATCACCTTCTCCAGAAGAAGTTTGCAGAGTAAAAGTATGAGAATTTATGTGACTTATTTCAGTAATACTTAACAGATAATAGGTGAACTGTGACAATGCAAACATTCAAAGTAATTTAAGAAAACCCATCCTTCATTCTATCCATTGAAAAATAGCATTTTTATTTTTA